TTTATGTTTATTTCTATTTTATGGATGCGACGAATCTTTACAAGGCATGACGAATTATTTCAACGAATTTAGAAATTGAGAATTATTTCAACGAATTTAGAAATTGATAACTTGGTCGGCTACATCCCGCCGCTACTGTCTCCATCAAACTTTTTGTATGATAAATGAGTGGGAACGGTGCCGTCGGACCGGCGTCTCTTCGTGAAAAATCGGCGTCGTCGTCGTTTATTGATGACAGCGTACGTCATACTGCGACAATTTATATTTTTCTTGAGAGAATTAGCGGGGTGGGGGAACGCCGAGACGGCTGCGAGACACGTGGAACATCCGCCTTTCGGCAGGGACTCATTCAGAGATTAATGAGGTGTGCACTTGAACGATCTGTTAACACATTTATGTAACCACGTGGCTGCTGGTGAATGTCTAATGAGTCAAACATTAAAATTATGTAACGGTGAAATATTTTATTCACTGTCAACTCAACTCGCTATTTTTCTCCACCACCAACAACTACTAAGCAACTGACTGCATCGTCTTGAGGTTGTGCATAAAGTCCCTGAGTAAGTACTTACTAAGAATAAGGTGAAATATTGCTAGACTATTTTGGTTTGGAAAGATGCTTTCAAATAAAATTTGACTATATCAACCAGTGGATGTATCTAGTAATACTTACTTACTACTTTAGGTTTAATAACCTGTTTGAGGTAACAGATAATAGAAGCATATTTCTTGAACCTGATGGGCCCTCGGGCACTATTAACAGCTTGTTACAACTGAATAACTTAAAAGTACATAAAAACGAAATAGAGAAGTATTTTTATCCGAATGGTAACGTATTTTTGAGAACATGATCAGAACATTAGCTGATGGCATCCACATATTCCCGTTCCAAAAAAGGGAGATCCTACTCAAGTTGATAATTACCGTCCCATAACATTGTTGTCAATCTTTCTAAAATAATCGAAAGAGCGATTTATTCAAGAATTTTGGGATATGCTGAGAAATTCAACCTTATCCCAAGCTCGCAGTATGGATTTAGGAAACTTCATTCAATAGAGACAGCTACTTATGAGTTTGTATGTCAGATATATAAACAGCTCGATATGAATAAATGTATCGCGGGCATCTTTTTTGACCTATCGAAAGCTTTCGATACAATTGACATTGGACTTCTCGAGGAAAAATTATTTTATTTAGGTTTAAGAGGTTTTATATTAGATTGGGTAGTGTCTTTCCTGTCTGACAGGAAATTCAAAACAAAAGTTAACGGAATTACATCCGCAACCTACAGTATCGACATTGGAGTAGCGCAAGGCTCAGTTTTAGCACCCCTTGTATTCATTCTGTATATAAGTGATTTGCATCTCTCTGGATTTGTAAAAAATTATGCGGATGATACGTCAGTTCTTGTAAGTGGAACCTCACGCAATGACATTATTGCAAAATAAATGGAGTAAAATGTGAAATGAAAGGGTGGTGCCAAGCAAATCGTTTGATTTTAAACCTCGAAAAGTCAGGTGTTGTACATTTGTATACAAACGCCCCTATTCTAGCAAATCATGAGACATCGAAAACTACGACATTCTTGGGAATAGAAATGGATGCAAAGCTCAGTTGGCAACAACACATGGACAGTGTGTGTAAAAAGATGAACATATCATATTATGCGATTCTTAAGATCAAGTTTTGCTTATCAGAGTCAGCTTTACTAGATGTATATTATGCTCTCGTCCACTCACATTTATCAAGGAACATCATAATTTGGGGACAAGCAACTTCAATTTCTAGAGCATTTGTTCAACAGAAGAGAATAATCAGACTGATATTCAACATTCGTAGAAGAGAATCCTGCAGAGATATCTTCAGAAGTAAAAACATCATGACTCTACCAAGCATTCATATTTATAAGTGCGCCCTTTTCGCACATAAAAACACAACAAAATTTATACAGAACAGAAACATCAACACACATTATAATACAAGGGCAGGTGAGAGTCTGAGTATTCCAAAACACACACCGACGCTGTTCGAAAAGTCACCGGAATACACCTGCATCAGAATACGTATATATAACAAACTTTCAGCTAACTTCAGGAATGTCAGTAGTATTCTTAGTTTTTAAATGTAAACTACGCAAATTATTAGTTGAAAAATGTTTCTATTCTTTGTCTGAATACCTCGCACTGTGATATTTTTTTTTAACTTTGTGTCTGTACGCATTAAGTTGTCCCTGTTGTACTTTGTAAATACTTATGTTTGTTTCGTTTTTATTTTTAATTATGTGTTACTATGTACCTCCCTCTTAGGACGAGTCTTATGTCATTTTTTATGATCTACAAGACAATAAATGTATCTGCCTATCTATCTATCTATGAGATCAGATCAGATTTCTTATCAATTACGAGCCCCTTCCCACTTCAGTTGGCCCACTTCAAGATTTGTACCAAAATATGCCTTTATAAACTAAAGATGACGAAACCATTTACTTCTAAAACAAGTTATTTTCTCAAAACATTTTAGATACACTCTAGTCGTAAAAAATACATATTTGAAATCAGACCTATAACTATAGAACATCCGAACAAATAAACAATGTGCGAATAAATGCGCGAAGTTAACAAAGCAACAATGAAAGATTTTGGAGCATATTGTTAACCAAGTTTTGGCAAAAATTTGGTTGTGTAAAACAATCTCATAGTTCTGGAAGCTTTTGTCTCAGTTCGGTGATTGTACGAGCAGGATGTTGTCGTAGAACCTTTTCATCTCATGCCACAAAGTTTCAATAGGCGACAGAAATGGACTGCTAGAAACCCATTTCAAAAGTGGTACATTATTTTCTTCCATCCATTTTATAGCCTTTTTTGAAGTATGGCACGCTGCACCAGCTTGCTGAAACACAAAATCTTGCCCGGCCGATGTCAAACATTCTTCCATCACTGGCAAAAGCGATTCTTCTAAAATTGCCAAATATTTGTTTGTATCCACATTTCCATCAATGAAATGAAATGTTCGTACTGCTTTTGATGACTTACTGCCTCAGACCATAATGGATGCTGGAAATTTCACTTTTCTCTTCAGACAGTCAACATGGAATGCTTAATTTTTTTTGCGAATAACTCTACTGCGACTGTCACCAACACAAACTTCGAATCGGGCCTCATCACTTCCCTGTATTGCACACCATTGTTGAGGTGTCCATTGTCTATGTTCTTTAGCCCATCTAAGCCGATTTTTCTTTTGCAGTGGAGTTAATAGTGGTTTTTCTTTGGCCTATAAACAAGTTGTGCAACTTTTTAAATAATTGGCACGCCTGTTTTTCACGATTATTCTTCTCAATATTTATCACACGGTACCGCGATAAGTCTAACAAAGTTGCAATTTCTAAAGTTGATTTCCCAGAATTATAAAATTTTATTATCAGTAACCGAATTTTCGTTTTGGATCTGCCAGCAAACGAGTGGAATAAGTGCTTCAAAAACTGGTTCGAGCGCATGCAGATGTGTGTTAATCTTCTTGGAGAATACTTCGAAAAACAATAAAGTCATTTTAAAACTTACCTACCGTGTTGTTTTATTTCCATATGCAAAACTTAAAAGACATCCCTCGTACTCCACAGTGTTCTGTCCCAAAGATATGATTGGAGGAGCGAGAGTCCACCGATCGCTAGGCCAAGAGGCCTCCAGTGAAACCGGAGGGTGTGCTAAATTAAGCTTCTATAATATCTTACTGCCCAATCTTGCAAGAAAACGTTAACACGTCCCATTACTCAAGCAAAACATCGATACTCAAACATTTAATTGAATACCTCGTCAGATTGACTGCTAGCAGCTAATTACGTTTCTTGCTGACACGTCGTAAACAAGGTGATTTCGCTCAGCTTCCCGCCTCCGCAGTAGCTGATATACATCGTAGCAGTCGACAACAATAAACTTAGCGCCAAGTTTCGGTTACAGCGCCAGCGGTCGAGCAAAAACCGTGCAAGGCTCCTTATTAGCAGCCTCAGTTCAACCTCGACGTCACTGCCAGATATTCAAATTAAACCCCGTTGAGTGCATAGACGTAGTTTGGCGGTAGCAGAAACAGGAATTTGTTGATGCCCAGTATCTGCTTGTGTCTCTACGAGTAACGCACATCCGTAGTTTAATCATCCGGCACCTTCCCAGAAAACTGTAAATTTGACCATATCCAACCCATCAAAAAAAAAAGATTTAAGATCGACTCTTCCGCTTACAGTCCTCCGCTTTCTGTTATAAGTACTACCATAAAAGGTCCTCGATGTCTATTATGATTCTTTCTCAGAACTGTTTATCCAGATGCCAATGTGTCCGTAGTTTTTTTTTGTTCTGTTATTGGCACTGGTCGATGACCAACTGGCCAGATCCTTATGTTCAGTATAATGCTATGCTTTAATAGAAAATAGAACATCCGTTACTTAATATTACTATTGTATATTATTTCTATTATACTTAGATAGAGTATGCAAACACATATTTCTTTTTTTTTTAACCAATAATTTTTACTTTTTTTTCCTTTTCTCTATTTTGTTTATAAGATTGTTTTTTTTACTGATCTGCTTTGTTTGTTTTTTTTTTCAAACTTACTGTAATTTACATTTTATAATGTTAGGCCTACTTTCCGACAATGCTTGTATAAAAGTTCGTAAACTTGCTGGTTTCCTGAGAATTGATTCTAAATTTAGAGGCAAAGGAAGGTGATTCGCTAAAATTTCATACAATTCAGAATTTTCGTTGATAGAACTTGCACATTCTAATATTAAGTGTTGCAAGGTTCCTATATTTCCACAACTGCAAAGTGGATCATCTCCGTATCCAATTCTTGATTTATGATGAGGCGTTAGCACATGACCACTTCTTATTCTGCTCACGGTTCTAATGTAAGGACGATTGGTAATTCCTTGAAACCAAGGTCTGCTTCGAAGAGTCTCTTGTATACGTTTCAGGTAACTTCCTGTTGGACTGATTTTGTAATGGTTACTCCATTTATTCTTTAGTCGTTGTCTGATCAGCAAAATTATCTACCATCTCGTTTTCTTTTACACCTGAGTGGCCTTTGATCCAGACTATGTTGATAGTTTTGTCGAATCTATTCAGCTCCTGAAAACGCTTGATGATGTTCGCAATTAGATGATTAAGATTTGCAGTGGGGTGACAATTCTCCAATTTTGTTACAGCACTTCTACAGTCGGTAAAAATAACCAAATTCTTATTTCCATGGAATCGGAATCAGTATTCAATAGCTTGGTTGATCGCAACCAGTTCTGCTGTGAAAACCGAACATTCAGGTGGCAACTTGAATTCTTGGTGATACGAACTGTTGCTGTGATAAAATGAACATCCCGCTAAATTGTCTTTCTTCGAACCATCCGTGAAGATATATTCCCATCCACTCCATCGTGTTCGAATATCATGCCGGAATTTGAAAGGTGTTGATAAATCTAGTTCGGAATATTTCGTAAAGATAACTTCGGGTGGAGAGTTATATGCCGAATATTCAGGTATGAAACATGCGTTGATTTGATTAGAGTGTACCTTCTTGACGGTAGGAAGAAGCCACTCATAATTCTCTATGATCAGAGGAAGCCTTTTGTGTTGCCAGTATTTCGCTGTTAATCCATGAATAAACAATTGGTGGATCTCGTTAATGAATCCCCTGCTGACCAGTTTAACCAGGGCTTTATCGCTCAACATTTGTCGTCTGAATTGAAGAGGAGGTTCGACCTCCATGACATTGATGGGAGTGCTATTTAAATATCCGATACATAGCCTAAGGCACTTATTTTTGATCTGTTATTTTTGTAACTGAAGCATACGTGGTTTTTGGCAGCGCATTGTTTGAGTCTCTAAAAGAAGAATTAGTCATTGCCATGTGCTTTTTAATTGCCTTTTGCCTCTCAAATTCATTACATTTTGAGGTTTCAAATGAGTAGTGACTGCCATCGCAAAAAAAGATAGATAAAAGTCCTCCAAACTTTTTTTTGACATATCAGAGGATCTTGATGATTTTTGAAAGAATTCTTAGAGGTATAACGTTTGGGAGTGTGGATTTAAGGGGGATGGGGAGGGTATATCTCAATTTTTTGATGTTAGTATATTTGTACGCTCCCAGCATTGGTAATTCTACGCATCTATTAGACATATTTCAGACATCATGCGTCTGCTCTCTGCGACGTGTCGGTTCTGGTAGGTGCTCTGCTATCACTGATGCGCAATAGCATAGTGTTTCCTATGCTGTGGCGGCTGTGCCACGTCTGACCGGGCTAGGTCTCAAGGAGAAGCGACGTCGCCAGATGGACTACCGGTAGGACAGGGAAAGAATGTTTATGGACTACTTTTATCGACCTCGGTTTGACTGACAATTGCGTCATTTTCTTTACACTTGAGCCACCACGTAGAACTAAAGCCTAAATAGCCGGGGCTATAGGGGACTACAGAGGAAAGGCCGGGGAGAGGCTTACTCACACGGACTCCAGAGAGAGAATAATAATAATATAATAATAATAATAATAATAGGCGTCTTTATTTATCCACAATTACATTGTAGTATAGCCAAATGTTAGACTTACATGGCGAAGTTTAGCATGCTGCTATTCTTACACTTAACCATATAGTCGCTAACAGATGTTCAAAAGTATACACTATCCACAAACGGATTTGGTTCATTACATCGAAAGTAAAAAATAAAAAAAAGAAAAAAGCATACTTTCCAAACCCAAGTACACCAGAAAAATATTAACCTGAATTAGAGACGGAATAAAAAAGAAATGAATGATTACGTAATTTATATGTTTGGAGGCTTGAGTAATAATGTTTTAACTTTTTGTCGAAAGGCAGGTAATGAAAATTCTTTATAAACTTTAGGAACGTCATTATAAATAATAGCAACATGGTAAGAAAAACTGCGTTTAAAAAACGTTTTTGTTCCAAAGAGTCGTTGTGGCATGAGCTAGTAACATGTTCTTCGTGACATTTTGCACACCTAAGCTTGCTTCTACATTGCTTACCCAAATGACCATAACGCATACAGTTATGACACAGAATTACCTTCTGTATATAATGATTTACATCAAAAAAACGTGACTTATAGCAACACGCTTAGGCAATTCTTGCGCTTGAAAAGTAACTACAACCTTATTTATAGGTAGATATTTAATGTCACCATTTTGATCTGATTTCCGGTGCATGCGTTTAACCGAATCCACCGAGAAAATGCAGTGAGAATCGAAAGGTTTGATCCTCTCCAACAAGTATTCGTCTGATAAGTCTTTGTCCACCGAAATAACACCCTGTCTATATAAAATGAATTTGGGTATATAAACGTCTAAATTGATAGTTTTGAATAAAATCGTTTTATTTAACCGGACATTTGCTGCTGATGGATTTTTGAACACAATCCTTACCCTATTGCGTCCAATCGATTCAATTCTTTTAATCATATTGTCAACTTCAGGAATATTTTGAGAATAGTTTCACCAACCTTAACTGGATTTAATTTACCTGAGAAATTTGGTTCATTGTTTTCGATATAAACATGATAGGGGTCCTTATCAGTCTGCTTATATGTTAAAAGCGGTCTATCTGCTTTTCTGGGAGATAATGTTGGAAGTTCTACCTGCATTACTCCTGATTGTAGATCATAGTCAATTGTATTATCATTACCGACCTGGGAATTATCTTCAATAATTGCATCCATTGAATCCTTCGATTCCTCCCTTTTCTTTCCAGGGGGCAAGCCCCCTTGGGAGACACTCATATATGTTGTGGGGCTCCTGTTCAAACTTGATATACCTGAAACTACTTACAGAACAGCTAAGTTTCGGCACTAATTAAATATTCAAGCTCGGAATCGACCAAAAATCATGTTCGCTTGTCACGTCACTTTGACGTATATGTGTCCGTGGTTCCATCAAAACTTCCTTGTCCTTTGAGATGTAAGAGAAAAATTTGTAAGTACCGAAGCAGATTTTCGGAAATTAACTTTGTTTGGTGACAAATATTTCAATCTTGATTATTGTTTTCACGTTTCCTTTAGTACAAATAAGAAACTGCTTATTGTTATAATTCTCTTTCTTTAATTGATAAATGATAAGATATTTCATTTTGAACAAGGATTTTCTACTACGGAATGCAGGTAGTGAATGCTTGAACAAATAAGCTCATTATGTTTTTTTCAATTAAACGTTAAGAATGTAATAAAAGACCATACTGTGCTACTTCTGGGAGATGAAAATATGCTGGAATAACAGGAAATGTTTTTATACGAATTCCTGTGAGAATCTGAAATTAATTGAGGGCCTGGTAAAGACCTTTTCTAAATACATTATTTTTGAGGAATTCAACCTGTTTCCATTATTAATATCGTCCTGAAATACTACAGGGATTTTAAGAATATTTCAGATTACCGGCAGAATTGTACGTAACACGGAAATAAATGTTGTCTTGATTGTAAAATTCATTTCTTACAGTTGCCTATAAGACTGTAGGCCTTTTATAACAGGAAACATTAAGTAATTTTTTGACCTGCATAATTTACGTCAAATATAATCTCCGAGCACTCCGAATACTCGGCTACCACGCACTATTTTGAACCACTTGTCAGAATATCAACAAAAAAGAGGTTGTACATCTACAATATGACCTAGACCTCTAGAACCTCTAGAGGTAAGGAAAGAAAATTTTAATGGCACCCACCATTTGACAGCAGATACGAGCACCTCGAAAACTCGGCAACCAAGGATTTTTGCATAAAGGTAATTATGGAAGACTCGAGATACCAGAGAAACAATTTTTCTTTAACGTGAAATATGTTCTCCAAGGTAATTTGGAAGTCAAGAATGCAATTTCAAGTAGCGCTCACCCATCTTTATGGCAGTATTAAATTGTTCTCTAATGGAGAATCTGGAGCCCTGCCTGCACAAATCTATAGTCAAAAATTCTCAAACTTGACCTTCAAGGAGCTTATTGTCGAAGTTATACAGGGTGTTCCTTAATGATATGCGAATATTTAAGGGTGTGCATCTACATGAAAAATTAATGTTAGTTTGCTTTATAAACTATGCTCCAAAAATTCTTCTTTGCAAAAACTCCGGGTGTTGAAGTTTTAGGAAAAAAATGGAAATTAATTAATATTTTCAGAACCGCTTCAGATATTTCACTGATATTTAGTACGTAATGAAAGTTGATAAAATTGCATATTTTTCAATGCAAAAATAATTTTTAGCTTTAACAGTGGCGTGCGTACGGGTATTGACTTCGATAATTAAAAAAAAATGATACACTTATAGTTTTTTTCCAAATAAAAATTATTTTTAAATTCCCGTTTCATTTAAAATAAATGATCTCTCTTGAATTGTTTTCCTTCGATGTGCCATTTTTGATTAAAAAAGTAAAAACCGTTCTATTTCTAACTTGCAAAATTATTATTAATTTAATTGGAAAGATTAAACACATTAGTGTAATGAACAACAACAACTGACACCATGTACATAACATTAAAACCAACAAAATGATTAAAAGATTGTTAAAACAGCCCTTCACTTAGTATGCATGGTGCCGCCATCATTCTCATGGAATTGCGTACTCGTTGAAATATCCCTGGAGTGTTTTTTATTCACAAGCTGCAACTATTCTTTCTCTTAATTCCTCTACAGTGTTAATGGGACTTGTGTACACTAAAATGCGCTGGTGTGCCATCATGCATGTACCACATATTGTTTCTTATTACTAACGGAACCTCATCAAGCAGCAAATTCAACTGTTGTTGAAGTAAATTGAGATAAGTCTGTCGGTCAAGTCGTCCCGGCAAGAAGAATGGGCCACTACAGTGGTTGCCAATAATTCCTACCCATACATTAACCGAAAATTGGTGTTGGAAATGGGTTTCGGTTACGGCATAGGGATTTCGTCTGCCCACAAATGATTACTGTGGAAATTCTGAATGGCATTTCGAGAAAAATTAGCTTTCGTCCGTGAACAGAATCATTGATTCATATTGCGGATTTTGTGTAATTTTTTGAAGATACCGCTGACAAAAGGTCACACGCCTTGAAAATCAATGGGAAGTAATGCTTATACTCTTAAATATGGTAACGATATAACAAAAAATTCACTAAAATTCTCCAAACAATTTGATGGCAAATATTTAAGGGTCTAGCGATCTTCCCCGTATTCGTTTCAGGATGTTCTTCGACTTCGTGCAGCACTGCTTCCTCAATTTCAGGTGTTCTCACACTTAGAGGTCTCCCTTCAGATGTTCCTTTTCGGACAGAACCAGTTTGAACAAGACGACGATGAATATTAGAAAAGGTTCGACTATCTGGCAAAGCACGATCGGAATATCTCTGGTGATAAATCCGTCTAGCTTGCTCACCATATATCGTAATGCATTTCCTTCATTTCTGAATTTGAATAATCCACCATTATTAACAAGATTGTAAAACTAAATAATGGAAAGATGTCACAGCGAAGAGATTTGAATAACAGAGACTTGTCAGATGTCAAAAGCCAGTGACATATTCCAGAGCAACAAGATATTTATTGCTAAATGGCATTCTTCAATTATTACATTAATTTTAAAGCAAAAAATTATGTTTGCATTGAAAAATATGCAACCTTATTAACTTTCACTACATACTAAATATCAGTGAAATATCTGAAGCGATTCTGAAAATATTAATTAATTTCAATTTTTTTCCTAAAACTTCAACAGCCCGAGTTTGTTAGGAAACATTTTGGACCATAGTTTATAAAGCAAACTAACATTAATTTTTAATGTAGATTCACACCCTTAAATATTCGCATATCATTAAGTCATCGACAATTTGCTTTATCGAGACCCTAACACTTTTGATAGAACCTTCTTCTCCAAGAAATGCGTGATTGCCGAGCATTTGGGTGTTCGGATATTTACTAGCAAATAGACAACGATGCTGTTATTATGCTGAAATGCATTTCTCCAGTAATGCTGCCCAAGACCGATGTTTATGAGAACTCCTTTAGCTTGAGTTTAAGCGTGCGTATATCAGCATTTATCCCTCTAATCATTTTTAGCCGAGTAACTATTTTTACTAGGGCGCCGCTCAGGTTAGTTGTTCTACAATCTCGACACTCTAGGGACAAAGGAGCGGTGGTATCGGCCGGTTATGGATGTACGATGTCAGGCCGATGACAGTGCAGTGCAGTAGTGCTGTAATGGTCAGGATGTGCAGTCTTGATTGAGAAGCAGGGTGATTTATCGAGAAATCATTTTGGTAGCAAGGTATTCAAGTTGGTTATCCCAGTTATGGTCCAAGGGAGAGCGATAGAGGCAGCAGATAAATTTGGCTGATGGTTAGGACTTGAGTCAATGTCATAGAATGTCCTTCCGGCCTGGGTCCAAGGAAACATTTCTGGAGCAGGAAGGTCTGATGCGGACAAAGCGACAACTCATCCGTTACTCTTAATATTGGAGTGCGCCTCGTAATTTAACACTCTGACTGCCGGCATACTATTTTATTCTTGTTTTATTTTGTGCTGTCACACGTTTATGACTGACATACTGTTAGGCGTTATTTGGCGGCGTCAGTCATTTAGTCTGACAGCACCAAAATCATACATGGCCTCGTCAGGCTGTTTAGACTGACATTATATTGAATTGTTAATCTCCATTTGGATCACGGCGCTTGATTTTGTAAGTCTGAAAAACCTGGCGGCGCCAAAATAAAATTCCAGGTATTGTAAATTAACCAATCATTTTTATTTCAAACTTATTGTATTAGCAAGAAAAACCAAATATTATTATTTCAAACTGATTGTACTAACAAGAAAAATAGATAACTTATACACTATGATTTTTAATATGGCATTCTTGACACATCGCTGGTTTCCTATTGCATCCATCGCAATATGTTCGTACTTTTCTTACTTTTTTCTTGCTTCTGTTCTTGATATTTCTTTTGTTAGATTGATATAGCAAAGTTTACAGTGTTTTCGAGTTTTCTCCTCTGAATTTTTCAATAAATGTGCAACTTTTACAGTTGTTAGGCTGGTTATACTAGCATTATTTCCAAGTAATAAAGTCCTGGCCACATCTCTCTAAACTTATTTATGTTTGATTTCGGTACCATTTGACGGCTCGTCGATTGCATGTACTGTAGGACGCCATTTGGTCGGACTTGTCAATACCACACTTGCCATTATTAGAAGCAATAATTGCGTCTGGTTTTAATGTTGACGTTTTGTTTGATTCTTTTTTCTTTTTTGGAGTGGGCTCCTCGTTACTGCTGCTTGGAGAAAATGCTTCTCCTTAGTTTACTTGAAGGTGGCGGAACTCTCATGCCAATTCCGTGAATTGTAGATAACATAAGTACATCCCTAGCATCTTTCCATTTGGAAACGACGATCCCATCATTAGTTTCTCGCGCAATGTACTCATGTTTTTTGAGCTTCTTGGTCGTTACATCTTTTGGGAGGTATTTTCTGGACCGTCTAAGCGTACCTGCTAGATGTGTACTTTTGGTTAGAAGAATTCTGGCTAATGGACAACTAGTATAAAAGTTGACAGTATACAGAATTCTTCCTTCATTCAATAATCCTTCAGTCAAGGTCAATACGACAGATTCAACAATCCCAAGTCCAGCAGGACACTGTTCTTCACTACGGCCAGTATAGATTAGACATTTCCATGTATAACCATTTGGACTGCATAATTTAAAAGTTTTACCCCGTATTTGTGACTCTTGGATGGTATGTACTGGCGAAATTTCAGTCTGCCTCTCCATGGTATCATGCTTTCATCTATTACCATTTCTTTTCCAACTGTATAAGTCTGCTGAAAGAGTTATTCAACATATCAAGAACAGATCTGATCTTGTAGAGTCTAGCATTGTTATTCTCGTGTTCC